TTCCCTTTTTCTTTTTAAATAAAAAGGAAGGTTTTTAACTTTAACATAGTAAAATTACGAAGCCAAGGACAATGGCACTGAGTTTTGTTCTTACTGCATGTACTGGCTTTGTGGGAGCCTAGTCTGTTTGGATGCTCACCTTCCTAGACCTGGATGAAGGGGGAAGGACCTTGGTCTTCCCACAGGGCAGGGAACCCTGACTGCTCTTTGGACTGGAGGGGGGGGAGGAGGGGAAGTGTGGGGAGGGAGAGGGAAATGCGAGGAAGGGAGGAGGTGGAAATTTTTAATAATAATAATAAAAAAACAGTAAAATTACATATAACAAAACAGGCATTAAGCAAGATTACAGTTACAGTATTTATATCTACTTTATCTTTTATAATAACTAAGGAAAACTAACTATAACTATCTATTCTTCAACTCCATCAAAGATTCCAGAAGGATATAATATTACCTAACTAATCAGGAAGTGCATTGTGAGCAACTTCCAAAACTCTAGAATTGACAAGACATCACATTGCCTAAACAATCACCCAAAGTTCTTCTGTACCATTGGGGCATCCATCTTCAGCCTGATGGCCCACAGTATCCAGCAGACTTTTCCATGAAGCAGGAAATTTCAAAGACAGTTCATCTATATTGGCAGTTTGTAAGTCACTTTCTTCTGTGTTCTGCAGAATGTCTGGCAGACTCTTTCATGAAGCAGAAATCCCCCAAAGGACTGTCTCACCTTTAGGAAAGTTCATCAGTCATTTCTCTGTGGATCCTGCATGTCCAGTTCATACAGCATAGCATCAAACAGTCCAGGAAAGAGCAATTTCTTGCCCAACTGGCTAACAAACTCCATAAGGAAACTCTTTGATGCCCATCATCCTCTCGAAGTAGATTGGTGCCCCAGGAACAGATGTGTCTCGCTGTCATGAAGAGTCTTAACTTCTTTAAACATTTTAAATACCATATTCTGTAGTCCTTGGATGATTTGAAGAATACTTTTCTAACTCAAATATATCTCTATATATCTAGAAAACTTAACTAATGTGACTACAAGCTTGACTATTATAGATCTAATAACCTATATTTCCTAATTATGCATCACATTTCTAAATGAGCTGCATAAACACAATACCTTAATTAAGAGCAGAAATATACATATAACAAAATTGACCTAAAATTTGTATCAATAGAGCAAGATTCATAGCAATGCAAATCTTTGTAGCATATCCCTCTTTAAATGTAAACAGACATTTATAGACAATATTTGGGAATATGGGCATAGTCCTCTCCAAACTGCTTCCTGCTTTTTGTTGGATGAAGTATTTTGAAGGATGTTCATGGCAAGCTTTTGGGGGTCTTGGTCCATCAAACCACATTAGTCTGGAATAAATTCACAGATTCTCATCCTCTGTAGAAACAAAAGCAGAACCTCTTTTCCAAAGCAACATATCCTTAGACTAAAATTCTGAAGTCAAGATACCTTTATTTTGGTTTAACTTAACAGTCCATACAATGAAAAGTATGGACTCTCTGTACTTAACTCCTTTATAGTCAAAAAATTCAAAGAAAACACAATAATATACATAATCCATATTCTCTGTGTATTTTTCATCTTTATGTGGCTTACTTTTTTACTCTTTTTTATCTCCAACTGTCTGTATTCTGTCTCTTTAAATATTTTGTTTTATTTTTATAAACCATTTTACTTCCTTTTATAACTCTCTATACCCTTTTTTCTTCTCTCTCTCTCTCAAGCCTACACACATTTATCCAACACTGTGACTCATTTAGAGGTCTTTTCCATCTGAATTTATCTTTATTGCATATCTGGAATTATCTTTTGACCAGGAGCACCTTTTATTTTAATGCTAAGTGGGTGTGGCTAAGCCCAACTCCGCAGTCATGCTTGCTTTCTCCTCGCAGTCCAACATGGCAGAGACAAGTTCACTGCCTCTGAAAGCCATGTACATTTCCCCGTTTTCAGGCACACAGAGGGTCTTTGTTGCCATTAAGCAAGTTGTAGCACTCTCCTCACAAACCCCATTTAAATGTTCCATAGCTGGACCTCCAGAAGGGGTCAGAATTTGTGCAGGCAGCAGGACCCAGGAAGCCACTTTTTCAAAACCACTTGGCTTTTTTTTCTGCTCCCACTGAATCAGGAAAACCTCTCTTAAAAGAGCTGCAGCATGCCACCAGCAAGCAAAGCCCATCTGGAAAAAATGCAGCTAAACTTTTTTTGAGTGTGTCTAGAGCTCCTTTCCAAGCTTTCTCAGATTTTATGTGGATACAGTTGACCACGTGGGAGCATCAATTTGTTGTAAGGAGGTCGCTTGTTCATTTCCCGGCTACCCAGACTCCCAAAATAATCACACAGAAACCATATTATTTAAATCACTGCTTGCCCCATTAGCTCTAGCTTCTTATTTGCTAACTCTTACATCTTAATTTAATCCATCTCCATTAATCTGTGAGTCACCACGAGGTCGTGGCCTACTAGCAAAGTTCCAGCACGTCTGTGTCCAGCAGCTCCATGGCTTCTCTCTGACTCTGCCTCCTTTCTCCCAGCATTCAGTTTAGTTTTCCCTGCCTAGTTCTACTCTGCCCTGTCAACAGGCCAAGGCAGTTTCTTTATTCATTAACCAATAAAAGCAACACACATACAAAGGACTTCCCACACCACCTGCAGAGTTGTACACTCTGTTGGAGCTTCTCTGAGCCCTAAATGAAGCTGATTCTTAGAACATGCTCAGAAGAGGGAGCCATACTTAAATTGCCCCCTCTGGGTCATTCCTACTGTAGTCACAAAGAAGCCATGACAGGGCAGCATGCTAAATTAAGAGCAGAGAACCTCAGTCAGGGAAAGGTACTTGCTTAAGCTGGGATGATGCTGGTCTGGCTACGATTTGCTTGGTGGTAGGACCTGATAAATAGGCTGCACACAAAATGCTATATAATGGGTCCTGCTCTGTGTCTGTACAGATTAAGTCCACTGCCCTTTGGCCCTGACTTGGCGGGAAATGGCCCTCTCATCCCCCTCTCTGGCTTCCCTTGAGTCTCCATGGTTACTAAGAAACCAGGATTTTTTTCCTTTGAGAATAAAAACTGGATCCCGAGACTTGTATGTGTGTTGATGAATTACTTCCAGGCTGCTGTTTGTTAGGACAATAACACTCCAGCTGCAGGATAGGGGGAGACTGTAGCTCTGCCTTCTAATCAGCAAAGAGGACAGCTCTTGCTAGCTGTGCCTTTAAAGGCATTGTGACCCAGGGGAGAGAGCAGAATACCTGGGCTACATTAGCTGCACAGCCTTGGGAGACATTTCCTGGTTTGTCAGAATAGCAGTCAAGCTCTTGCCTCTGTGTGCCTTAGGAATGTGGGTACATTGAGAGCATAGAAATGATGTAGGATTCCCCTCTGTGTGCTGTGAATATGTTTTATTACTATTGGTTAATAAAGAAGCTACTTTGGCCTATGGCAGGGTAGAATATAGGTAGGTGGGAAAACTAAACAGAATGCAGGGAGAAAGAAGGTGGAGCCAGGTAGATGCCATGTAGCTGCTGAAGGAGAAAGATGCCAGAACATTACCAGTAAGCCACAGCCTCATGGCGATACATAGATTAATAGAAATGAGTTAATTTAAGATGTAAGAACTAGTTAGAAATGTGCCTGAGTATTTGGCCAAACAGTGTTGTAATTAATATAGTTTTGTGTGATTATTCGTGTCTGAGTGACCAGGAAACAACCAAGCAGTCTCCAATTACATAGAAATGCAGTAAATGCATTTATAAATGGTGAACTTTATCAGTGCCAACTGTGTGTGTGTTTATATGAGCGCATGTGTAGATGTGTGCATATGTGTATGTATGCATGCATGTATGTCTGTGCACACACATGTACTGCGTGAGGAGGCTAATGTTCAACCTTAGGTTATTCCTCAAATGTCATCTATCTATTTTTACATTAATTAATAAATTTAGAGCATGCCATGGCCCTGATGTGGACGTCAGAGGGCAGCTTGCAGGAGTTGCTTCTCTCCTTCTATCACGGGGATTCTGGGGATTGGACTTGGGTTGTCAGGCTTGCAGCAAGATCATTTCCCTGTTGAACCATCTTTCAGGTCCTGCTTGACAGCCTAAAAGGAAAAAGCTGGGCACAGTGGCCTGCACTTGTGATCCCAGCACTAAGAAGGTGGAGACAGGAGCCATATGGCTGGGTGGAGAAAGGAATGTAAGGGGAAAGAGACAGGAACTCAGTGGAGTGTGGTGTGGAGTGTGGAGTCTTCAGGATTCAGGGAAACAGGATCTTGCCCATTTTTGGTCTGAGGTAGATAGAGGTAAGAGCTCTCTAGTGGCTGGCCGTTTTGCTATTCCGATCTTCAGGTTGAAACCCAATATCTGTCTCTGGGTTTTTATTATTCATGCTACAAGTATGCACCCCTGGATAACCTATAACCTTTTACATACTGCAGACTGGCCTCAAATTCAAAGAGCTCTGCCTCTGTCTCCTGGGATAAAGGGGAGGCCTGGAACTTCTAGTCTTGAAAAAAACAAAACAAAACAAACAAGTCTGGTTTTTGCTTGTGTGTGTGTGTGTGTGTTCATGTACATGGGCACATGTGTGTCGGTGGGGTACATGCATGTTCAAGTGAGGGTGAAGTTGACATTGAGTGCTCTCCTCCAAGGCGCTTCCATTTGTTGAGGGAGGCATGAACCTGGAGTTCACCAATTCAGCCAAGCAACATCTAAATAAAACCTCCATGCCAGAAGAGCTGGAACGTGCGAGAGTTATTTGGTTGTGGTGGTTTTCATTATAAGCTTTGACAACTAAGGTTAACTTTGCTATCCAAGGTCACAACTCCGTGCCTGAAAACTGAACTACAATTCCCATAGTGCATCGCTAAAGTCTCGGGGGATTCTGGGAAGTGTGGCAGAGGTATGTTTGGGGCCAATTAGAATTACTGTCGCAGGTGTAGTGATTAAATTAAGTTTCCCAAAGTGCATTTTTTAGAAGGATTCTGGGAGGAGTGGCAGAAGCATCAGTTCCGGAGGGAAGAAAAAAAAGAGAGAGAGAGAGCATTTGAACTTGAACGTTTGGCGTTCGTGAGGTTTGCAGACTGTTGGAGCATCGGAGGCACCCCGGAAGAATTCAGAGTGAGTACAGTGAAACGAACCTGTTCTAACTGCAACCAGGACGTTGGCGCCATAATCCAAACTTAGCAGCCGCTCTCGGCTACAGCGTTTGAGTTTAAAAAGTATTTCTAATCTCGAGAAACCAGACCTCAAAGTTGGGTAACTTTGAGTACCTCTGATTATTTTCCGAAACGTTTTTGGAGAGCTTTTTATACCTGGAACTTTTTCGATTTCTCACCTTTTCTCTTAATTTTTGAATTGGTGGTGGGATATTTTAGAAGTAAACCATAAAACTTTTTATATAATCAAGACCGTGAAGGCTGCAACGCGGTGGCTTCGCATCCTTCCCAGCCCCGCTGAAGTCCACAGTGGAATGGGTGTACCCAGGACTCTCTCCAGCACAAGGAGCAATGCCTCTGCAGGGTGAGGGCACCCGTGAAGATTCAGAATGAATCTTCTGTCACACTTTATAAGTCATTCCTTCTGGAAAGGCAAGCAAGATGAGAAGTGTGTAAAAACAGTTACCTTTCATCCCATCTATAATTCTGTGTACACAGACACACACACACACACACAACAGGGCGTTGCGCTCTATGACAAATTCCTGAGTATCCAGACTGATAATCTGCAGCTGGCTAAAATTAATTTAGTAACAGAAATTGGAGCAGACACCAGGCAGCCCTACAGTGGGCCACACAAAGTAGGAAGTAGCCACAGCCACAGCGAAGTAGCTTTTGCGGTTCCAGAACCCATGAACCTCATCAGAGGAATTCTAGTAGCCTAGAAATAATCTCCAACTATTAGTCTCAGGAACTACTGTTTTTGTTATACTGTTTTGTTATATCTTTCTTTAAAAGGAGCATGTGCATATGCTTACATTTTTTAAAGGAGGCTGGGCCTCTAATCCCCTGCTGAGGCAAAATGGTCAGTGCCGTGAGTCTGAGACCAGCCTCGGCTACAGAATGAGACCTTATCTCAAGAAGTAGTAAATGAATGAAATTTAAAATCAACAAAAATAAATAAAATTAGGTTAGGGCTGGGAAGATGGCTCAGTAGATAAAGTGCTTGCTGAGTTTGATTCCCCAGGACCCATGCAAAGCTGGATGCAAACACACATCTGTAATCTAAGCACACCCACGGTGAAAGGAGAGGCGGAGCAGGCTCCCTGGATGCTCACAGACTAACTAGCCTGGTGTACTTAGGGACGAATGAGGAAAACAGCCTGTCTCAAAATAAGGTATAGGGTGAGGGACCAACAGCTGAGGTTGTCCTCCGATCTGTACGTGTATCCTGTAGCATGTGTGTGCCTACAGCCCACCCCCCCCCACATCATATACATACAATCTGTACATGCATGTGTCCTGTAGCATGCGTGTGCCTGCAGCCCACCCCCCACATCATATACACACAATCTGTACATGCATGCATCCTGTGGCATGTGTGTGCCTGCAGCCCCCCCATACCATATACACACAAATACAAGTATAGAAAATGAACAGTTTAGTCGTGTGTACCCTTCTCAACCCTCATCATCTTCTCCTTCCCCTAACCTAGCCACTGTCTATAGTTTGGTCTGCATACTTCTAGTCTGAAATATATAAATGCCTAACTATAATCTTAGCATTCGGTAGGTGGTAGTGGGAGGATGAGTGAATTCAGAGCCAGCCTGGATTATGTGAGACCCTCTCAAACAAACAACAGTAACAAATCCACACACCTCCAGATGAGGGAAGTATCATACATTTGTAATCAGCACCGTGGAGTCAGAGGCAGGACTCACATATCTATAGTTGTTCTTTCTGGTAAGGGCATTTAAGATCTCTTAGAGGTTTTCAAGTATCTATCAAGTATCTATGGCAACCATCAGTACTACAAATTTGCAGAATTTACATATCCTGTCCAAGTGAAACTGTGTACTCTTTGGCCAGCATCTCCCCATTGCCTCCTAGGCATTTCTCACATAATAAAATATTATGAATACTACTTCCTGTTACTACACACATTGTTCTCTATTTAAAAGCTACTTATTATTCTATTTAATCATAAATTTGGGGGTTGCCGAGGATCAAACCATAGGCCTCATGCATGTTAGGTAAGTAGTCTACAATTGAGCTACATCCACAGACCATATCGTAATTTAACCTTTTATATTATATTATATTATTATTATTGTGTGTGTGTGATAAGTGTGCCTGCAGATGCAAGCATGCCGTAGTATACATATGAAGGCCAGTGGATAACTCTGGGGAGTCAGTTTTCTCCTTGCCCCATTGTTCCAAGAATCAAACTCAGGTTACTAGCCTTGTACAGCAAGTGCTTTTAGTGGCTGAATTATCCTACTGAGTCCCATTATCATAAATTTAAAAGAAATATTTATCTATTTTATGTTCATTCATAAGCAACTACATGTCCCTACACCATGTGTGTGCCTGGTGTCTGTGGAGGCCAGAAGAGGGCATTGGATTCCATGGCACTACTGGAGTTACAGACAGTTGTGAGCTGCCATGTGGGCACTGGGAACTGAACAGATCCTCTGGAAGGGCAACCAGCTCCTTTAAATTCTGACTCATCCTCAGCCCGTATCCTTTTTATTAACATTCTTAACCATATTCTTTCCTCCCTAGAACAGATTCTTAGGTGTAGAATTTTTAGGTCAAATAAAGTTTATTTAACACATTAATAGTTATTCCTAAATTAACTTTGTGAGCTAGTAAAATTGGCCTAAGTCACATACCTTTAGATTATTAAAATTAAACCTTTAACACTATTCTCCCAGTGCCTTTTAACCCACATAGTACATACTGCCTTCTCTGAAGGTGATTCATACTGTACATTTTTTGTTTTTTAAGCCATCTTGAGTAACATCAGCACCTAATATTTTGTTAGCTCTCATTTGGTAAATATATTTTATCTTCGCCAGGGTCATAGACTGCAGCCAAAACTATTCAAGATTAGTCATCAGTGACTCATAGTTGCACAATCATGAAGCAGGCCCGAACTCTAAACGCTTCTTGGCAGGCTAGTCTCAAAGCTTGCTTCCCTTGGGCAGGTTAGAAGGTGGTTGGTTGTTTAACTGGTCTTACTTTCTCAGTGGAATTTCTTGACATTTTTACTACTAATATGAAAGATGCCCTTCACAAGAAAGACAGTACATTCTAATACACAATTTAAAAAGAAGCTTTGGGCTGGCAGTGTAGCTTGGTGGTTGAGTGCTTGCTTAGGATGTGGATAGGTAACATTCAGATGTGTGAAACTCTGGATACAGCCCTCACGAATGCAAAAACAAACAATCACAATTCTGAAAATGGATTTTTAAGAGACAGGATCTACTACAAAAAATGGGAATGAACTTGGATTCCTGTGAATTTGCATAGCTGCCTATTGAAAGATTTTCCTAGTGGTCTTGTTTTTAATTTTTTTTTTAATCTACAGGATATTCTCCTACTTCATTCTCTAAGAGATGTTGGATTTTTTGCTTGTTTGTTTTTCTTCTTGGTTTTTAGAGATAGGATTTCCTTGTGTAACAGTGCTGGATATCCCAGAACTCAATTTGTAGACCAGGTTAGCCTCAAGTTCTCCTCAACCCTGCCCTTCTCTCCTTCCTTATACACTCCCCCCCACCCCCCGCCCTCATGTTCCCAATTTTGTCAAGCGATCTTGTGTGTTTCCAATTTCCAGGTGGGTCTATATGTTTTTCTTTGGGTTCACCTTATTACTTAGCTTCTCTAGGATCATGAACTACAGGCTCAATGTTCTTTGTTTATGGCTAGTTTCCACTTACGAGTGAGTACATACCATACTAATTTTTTGGGGTCTGGGTTATCTCACTCGGGATAGTGTTTTCAAATTCCATCCATTTGCATGCAAAATTTAAGATGTCATTGTTTTTTTACCACTGAGTAGTACTCTAATGTGTAAATGTACCACTTTCTTTATCCATTCTTCAGTTGAGGGGCATCTAGGTTGTTTCCAGGTTCTGGCTATTACAAATAATGCTGCTATGAACAGAGTTGAACAAATGCTTTTGTAGTATGATTGAGCATCTTTTGGGTATAGTCCCAAGAGTGGTATTGCTAGATCCTGAGTTAGGATGGTTCCCAATTTTCTGAGAAACTGCCATACTGATTTCCAAAGTGGTTGTACAAATTTATATTCCCACCAGCAATGGATGATTGTTCCCCTCACTCCACATCCCCCAGCATAAGCTATCATTAGTGTTTTTGATCTTAGCCATTCTGACAAGTGTAAGATAGTATCTCAGAGTTGTTTTGATTTGCATTAGCTAAGGAAATTGAACATTTCCTTAAGTATCTTTTGGCCATTTGAAATTCTTCTGTTGCGAATTCTCTGTTTAGTTCTGTATCCCATTTTTTAATAGGGTTATTTAGAATTTTAATGTCTAATTTCTTGAGTTCTTTATATATTTTGGAGATCAGTCCTTTGTCTGATGTGGAATTGGTGAAGATCTTTTCCCATTCAGTAGGCTGCCTTTTTGTCTTAATGACTGTGTCCTTTGCTTTACAGAAGCTTTTCAATTTCAGGAGGTCCCATTTATTTATTGTTGCTCTCAGTGTCTGTGTTATTTAGGAAGTGGTCTCCTGTGCCCATGCATTGAAGGTTACTTCCCACTTTCTCCTTTATTAGGTTCAGTGGTCAGACTTCTATTGAGATCTTTAATCCATTTGGACTTGAGTTTTGTGCATGGCGATAGATAATGGATCTATTTTCATTCTTCTACATGTTGACATCCAGTTATTCCAGCACTTTTTATTGAAGATGCTTTCTTTTTTTCCATTGTATAATTTTAGCTTCTTTGTCAAAAATCAGGTGTTCATAGGTGTGCAGATTAATATCCAGGTCTTCAATCCGATTCCATTGGTCAACGTCTCTGTTTTTATTCCAATACCAAGCTGTTTTCATTACTGTAGCTCTGTAATAAAACTTGATATCAAGGATGGTAAATCCTCCAGAAGTTACTTTATTGTATAGGATTTTTTGGCTATCCTGGGTTTTTTGTTTTT